GGAGAAGCAATCGCAAACGGGTCAGCTGGCGCCGGCGCATGTCGATTTCGAGTGTCCTGATTGTGGAATTCCCGTCTCCTGTAGCAAGGAGCACTGGATGGACGATTACGAGGCTCACCTCGAGATCTGCGATACTTTGAGGGAGATCAACGAGGATGACCATGACCTACGATCTGGCCGGACCTTCCCGGAGTTCGTTATGGCAGATGATCAGATGCCCGAGGCGGTCGTCAACATGACCAACTGGGACACCTTCATGTACAGCCGCGAGTTCGAGGCTATCAATGATGAGCGCAGCATGCGACAGGTCACGAAGATGCTCACATACCCCATCACAATTGGCAGTGTTCTGCATGAGTTGAGCCCTTACAGCGTCAAGCAGGGGGAGAGGTTGACGAGCGAGGGTTTGAAGAGTTTGAGTGGTGAGTTAGTTGCATAATTCACGAGTGAGATGAGCTGACAAGAAGGCAGCTTTGCGGTATACTCTTCATCCTCCTCTTTCCGGGAAGGGTACTACCATGAAGGAACTTCGTCCTGAGGCACCTCCCGTGAGAGTCTTCTGCTTGGGAGCGCGTGCCGAATCATCCCTGCCCAGAAACGTCTGGCTCCAGCTTGCTCATCTCTTCCCAGAGAGCAAGATTCATCTGATCTTCATTGGCCCCGAAAGCATGGCTAACCGAGACGATGAATTCCCTCTGCCGCAGCGGACGCCCGAGAACCCATTTGGTATGGTAATTGAGGACCGGATATCGCACAAGATGAAGATCAGCACCATCGTGGACTACTACCACACCATCCATAAGACCGGATACTTTGCGCCTTACGACCCGTACTTTGACTGCTTCTGCCTCTTCCATCCTGGTTTGGGCCATCCCGCAAGCAGCCACGAGTGGACCGAGACGCTTCCTATGCTTCTGGAGACCAAGGTCCCGATCATTGCTACAGGTTACACCCAGTTTGATATGGAGAGAGATATCGAATGGGTCAGAAAGACCGCTGCTGGCGAGTTTGATGTTCTGTTGGAGCCTGGCGAAAACCTTTTCCGCAGCTTGAGGTGGGATCTGAATGACCTGGATCCCCAGGACGTCAGCTGTGGAAATTGGGGAGTGTGGGCGTTCCGTGGAAAGAGGTATGCAATGCACAGTCGCCATTGATGTGGTCGGTCGCTAACAAGGAATGCCTAGGTATGAGACGACTAAGAAGGATGACGAGTAGACGCTCGTCATATTGCTGATGAATCAAAATGGGAATGAAGTTGGACCACTTATAGAGGTTCTGTAAATAAGTGTATCATACTCACCGGCATGTGCATTGTATAACACGAAAGGGGGGAGAAAAATCAAGACCAAGTCGACTCTGTAATCAATTTTGCTGTAAAATGTGTCCTACCTCCTCTTCATGACTGACTGTCCGATCCAAGAATTGTATGATCTGTACCGAAGATACTGCGAGAATCATGACGCACGAAGATCACAGAGTGAAGGGCAGCTACGGTTAAGTATAACGCTGCTCGGGATTCGACTTGAACATGTGCGTAGTTCAGTCATGCTACTGAGCTGTGCTAAGATGGGGCGATTCTCGACGTTTTCTGTTGCGCCAACCTTGCACCAAAGACAAGGTAGGTAGTCTGACTCGCATTAGCAAGGCAAGACAAGCGCATGCGTTGTCAAATGTTCCGGCAGGTCGGGTCCGGTGGCCGGGGCAAGTGCCGGGTTGTCCTCTGCAGATGCGGGCCACTCCGGCAGGTGCCTCCTTAATGGAATGGAAGGGACTTAAGGCAAGGTTCCTTATGTAAGGCGCCCGCCCTGGCGGTCCTAGCGGCCTGCAGAGCACAGGGCCACGGCCATTGAGCCGCTAAACGCACTTGCAACGGGAGACAAGCCCTTCCTTGTAACCGACCAGCACCGGGGGGCAGGTCCCCAGTTTCCGCCTGCTGTCACTCGACCACCTCACAGATCAGCGTCGTCCGAAATCTTGCTGGCTGCAAGTCAAACTTGACGACAGCTCACTCTCGCGACTTTTGACTGCCACCGTCAAAGGCTTACACGCGACAGACTTCGAAGCTTCGTACCATGAGAGTGTGGTCGCGCCAACCATAGACGGCCATGGCAGCTGTCGCTACCCCTCGCGCTCCGACGCCGCGACCGAAAGCCCCCGCGACCGTCAGCTTCTTGAACGATCCGGCCGCGGCCGCTCCTACACCTCTGGCCACCCCCGGCGCCGAACGAACCCGCCCTCCGCTACAGACCAATCCTTCCGCTCGCCGATCTGCTCGACCTACTCCTACAGACTATCTCTCCGACAAAGCAACCGCCGCCTTCATCCGCCGTGTCCTGTGCTCCAAGCACCTCGCCGAAAGGGGGAGGGCAACACCGTCCCCGATCGAGGAACTACTGCCACCCCTGACCAGCCGAAACGATGTCGATCTTCAGCTATACGCACTCATATCTGTGATTCTGAGGGAATACGTACAAGTGTGGTACAGCAAAATCACACCCGATGACACTTTTGTAGACGAAATCGTCCAAATAATCGCCCATTGTACAAGGGCCCTGGAGCAGAGATTGCGAAAGGTCGACCTCGAGAGCCTTTTGTTTGACGAGCTTCCCGATTTACTGGATAGACATATCCTCGGTGAGTCAAGACATGCAAATTATTAGGCTAGTCTTTCACTAACGTCCACTCGATAGCCTACCGCGCGGCGCATGATCCGGTGTCTCGACCACCAACTGAAATAGACCCCCGAGAAATCTATCATTCACTATGCCCTTTGGCTCCTTTGACGCCCATACCTCGCCCCGAAGACCCCTCGTCTGTTGCGAGACAGCAAGAGAACGAGACGCTTTATCGTCAGCTGTTGGTACAGGGCGTCCTGGCTGTTCTCCTACCGACCGAAGACCTCGAAAACGATTGCTTGACCTCTCTGGTTGGCCAAATCTTCTCCGAGCTCATCATTGGCAACGTCCTCGCCAATCGTCTTTCGCACCCATGGCTCATTTACGAAATATTTATCATCCTCACGAGAGTTCTCGACAGGAAAGCATCAGAGCCTATCGAAGAGGGAGTGGCGGAGGCGTTGCAGGCCGGCTCAACATCCGCCCTCCCCAGGCCTGTTCGTCACAGTTGGTCCATTCAGGGCGCGTTCTGGTCGCTCGTACAATGGTCATTTCTCGCTTTCTCGACTGTCCGCTTCCTCGTCATCACTCTCGCAATGTCTTCATCCCTGCCACCAAGGTTAGACGGCGAGCTGAATGAAAAGGACCAAGTGACTGGTCAAATATCGCATTCGAAGACGTTGAATCCTCCAGCTAGCTCGAACGAAGGGCAGCCTGTCAAAACACCCATTGCTGCCTTCAAGCTGTGGAGTTGCGTAGCAGATTTGATCGAAATGGACTCTCGCATGCCTTGGTTGAGTGGAATCATGTCACTTTTCCAGCTCGGGGCAATGAGCGGCCCAGGACGTATTGCTGGTCTCAATGGAGCCATGGACAGGTAGGCAACCATCACTTTGTTTCTCCCTCTCCTTCTCTAGCAATCTCACGTCACACCGCATGAGGTTCAAGTCACTGGATCTCAACCAGCTCCAGTGAGCAATCAGCAGCGCCCCGTCAGGCGAGTGAGTGAGACGGGATGGCTTTTCCCACGACAGCCTAGTTGGCTGCACTGTGGATGGATTTGTGAATGAGTTGATACGGGCTATGGCGACACACACCTTGGGGTGCACGCAGCGATGGGGGTCGAGTCTCTTGCAGGACTGCGCGAAAAAGCCGAAATATGCTGTGTGACATTCACACCTGGCCCATTCTGCGACCCAACCCTGACTTGACCTCGTCCCCCCGAATCCTCAAAACATGCGGTTGCATCCCAAGGACCTCGTGGCTTCCGACCAATCGCAGCAGGCGTCAACTTTGCTCGCCTCCGATTGCTCGATGGGCCCTCGCGGGGCTGCGCTTCCATCCACCAGCAAGCCTCATTTACGCGCCCAAGTCCAACAGCGAGCATCATTTTGCAGGGGTTCATTTTCATCACCGTCATCTTCTTTGCCCAGTGCACGCCTACGAAAATACGACGCTTGGTCACCTACGGAAAGCTATCAGTCCTGCTCGCCTCCTGACGCCCCGCTGCGAAGTCGGTGGTGAAAGCGGCCTCGCATATCGGGACGCAAATCCTACCTGCGCGGCCTCTTTCACCATCTGGTCATGTTTGGGCTGATCGCAAGCTTCCGTCCCTGACCGCCAGCCGATGCGTATAATCAGGCCGGAACGGTCCAGGCCATGGGCAGTCACTCGATCCGTCCCGAAAAACGGGCTAGCAGCTTGCCGGTCCCCGCTCAGCGCCTAATTGCCTGCCCTCCATGGACCGATGCGAAGCTGGGCGGACTCAAGCTTGGGAGCTTAGCTGTATCCCGGCTGGCATTTCCGGGTCTCTGCGCATTGCCATGTGCTCACATACACCTCACTGCAATGGAAGGAACACATCTCGACATTAAGACCAATATCATCCACGCGCCTTCGACTACAGGACCAAATCAGAGCCTTCTAGACTGTCCCCATCGCCAGCAAAGGGCCTCAAAATCCAGATACACCTGCTCGTCAATCCAGGAAGCCATTGAGCCATCTCAACAACCAAAGACAACAACATCCGTCGCAATCTCGTCATCGGGGGGGGGGGGGGGGCGCCCCCCCCCCCCCCCCCCCCCCCCAAACCCCCCGCCCCCCCCCCCCACCCAACCCCACCACCACACCAACCACCACCCCCCCACGCCCGCGGCGGGCGGGGGGGGGGGGGGGGGGGGGGGGGCGCTCAGCTACCCCTGCTCTCAACCTCGTGTCACCTTGACCTAGCCGTCTCCATTCCTTTCCTGACATCCCTCCTTCTCTCACTTCCCCTCCCGCAGATCGTTGCTTCCCTTTGTCGGTTCACACAAAAGCCCCTGCAACCCCCCACACACTTGACCGTCGCGACTGTCCGAGTCGGAAGCATACCCGGGAAGAAGCTGACATGGAGCGCTTGCCGCGTCGAAATACAGGCTCATTTCGCACACCATTCACCAACGTCTTCTCGACGCCGCATTACTGCCAACCATTCTCCGCTCCATCCGCGCCGCTCTCTTCCCCAACAACGCCCCCGGCGTCTCGACCTTGGCGGCCCCCTCTTCCGACGAGGAGCTGCGTTCCTTACGCCGCAGGTGCGCTAGCGCCATGCTAGCCAGCATCCCGCCCTGGTTGGCTGGCCTGTATCTAGGCGGGCGAGGCCTTGGCTTCCGGTGGCGGTCCGGACCGGAGTCAAGGCCTGGTGCTGCTGATGATGCTGCTCCTTTGCCCATGAGCGAGAGCGAGGCCGATGTTCCTGGCAGGGGTGATGCCACTAACGGGAACAGAACTAATGATTTAGGTAATGAAAGTAAAGAGAATGAGGACGAGGATCAGCAGCGAATGCTGGCCGAGATCGAAGAGAGCATACTCGATATCTTCTCAGACGAATACTGCAATAAGCACTTGGTGTACAGCATCCTGGAGCTGATTCTGGTGAGACTGATGCCGGAGCTGGTGGAGAAGGGCGTCGTTGAACTCTGGGAGGAGCGTCTGAGTCTGTGACGGATAAATTATGAATGAGTTTCTATGCCTTTCTGCCTGTTTTAGATACCCTTGTTAGTCTGAAAAACGCATTTTGTAATTCCGCATGATGAAGCAGTGCATTCCTTCTTAGATAATGTTCCTCATCGGAACCTCAGAACATGACAGATGGTCGGGGGCAGTCACAAACGCACTTTTGATCGTGAAAGGCAAGAGGAAATGGTTTTGTGATGTTGTTCGTATATTCGCAAACTGGTCGAGAGGGGGGGCAAGAGGGAGAGAATGAAGAAGGAAAAAAAGGGGCATATCCCTAGGAAATCAAATGCAAAAGGGGCCGCCCTTTTTTTCGTTTTTTTTTCCCACGCAGACTCTTTGGCCGGGGCTAGATGATGAGTCTTTGCGTACGTGTCGCATCGTGCCTTTTCCCCTTAACGTTCCTTGAGCATCCCTCTGCCTTGTGTGTGCCTTCTCGACCTCTCGCCTTTCTTCGTTCCTAGCCCGTTGATCAATTATGATAACCCGTGCCCGGCTCAAAAAGCCTTTGCCCCTTTCCGTGACACCCGCCCCTTGTAGATACCGTGCCTGGCTGACCGGCCACCTCCCAACCAACCGGAATCCTCTCCTTACTTCCTATCCTTGTCGCCTCACAGATGCAGAGAGTGTATAAGAGAAGGCTAGGATAATACAGTATCAAAATGGTGAAATGGTTGCGAATTTCGTGCTCGGGGAAACTATGGAGAGAGACAGATATGGACCAGAAAAAGAGAGAGAGTAAGAAAAAGATGACTATCGAAAACCAGGCTTGAATCGATGTGGCGCATGGAGAATTTTGCGGTGTTTCGCGTGAGCGGAATGGTCTTCCCTCGAGGGGAGCGTGAGCGTCGATAAGAATGGGGTATATGGATGTCTCGACTGAAGTTTCGAATGGGATGGATAATAGTGATGCTGTTGTTTCAAGGTAATAGAGAAAATGTCTCCGCGCCGTCGTCTCTGGCCAGTGTCCACCCCGGTCCTGTATTGATAAGTTATAATTACTTGCCCATATTTCCAACTGTCGTGAGACTGTGGACCGGCGGTGGGAAGACACAGGCGCCCGAGATTATTGTCGCGAAGTCTGAAGCCTCAAGATCCAATCGAGAAAAGCCTCGGGGCTGTCGTGAGACATTGACCGTGTATTCCTGGGGTGTCATATTCCCCATGATAGGTATCGCCATTGTGAAGTGGGCTTTAGTTTTCCCAAAAATCGAAAATCCGGTCCCGGCGAGGGGGATGTGCTCTTTGCAGAACTCTCGTCGGGTCTAGAGATTGGTGAGACCAAAATGAAGGTCGTCGTCCTGTTGTAGATGCCCACGCATACCATGCGTGGGATGGCCTGTTTCCCAATCCAGTCCAGAATCAAAGCAAACAAACAAACAAACGCCTTGAAGAATGACGAATAATATTCTTGCCGAAAAAGGAGATTATACGCGAGCTGATATGATTTTGCTTTGCAAAGTGATTTGCCGAAGCATTAGGCCGGGTGTTCATTGAGTTACGACGGGCTCGGACTTGACCCCTAGCGACATCGAGTGAACGTGTTGCGGTGCCATCTCGGTGTCTCCTTCAGGTATCCGGTCCAAAATGCCTAGGGATTGAGGTACCCCGGATTTCGCAAGCTGATGCTGTTGTAGGCGCAATTTCTCCGTCAACCTGACCATCACCACATACTCCGTTTGGTCCAACAAGGCTCCCCCATTGGTGCTTTGGATGTAACTCAGCAACGTGTCCGCAGCTTTTCGAGCATCCTCCTGTGTCGGTGATGTCGGAGATGACCCGGCTGGAGTCGTGGCTGATCGACCAGCCATGCTACTGTTGCTGCTGCTGTGGTGCAGATGCGGCGATGAAGTGATGGCGGTATCTAGGCCAAAGTGGGGTGCTGCCATTTCGTGAACCGGCGATTCCAAAGCAGAAGAAGGAGCCGTAGACGCCGGGTGATACTTGGGAGTCATGGGCTCGGTTGATGCGGCCTGGTTCATGTACTCCAGATCGAGAGTGGGAAAGGTTTGGCTCCTTGGTCTCTGAAAGTTTGAAGCAGCCCCTCCATGCAGTTGGCGTGACGTATCGTTGGGGAGGAACTGGCCGGCGTTGGGGTCAGGGGAGAATGTAAATGTGGCGGTGGGACTCATCGCACTTCCCGAGAAGGACGAGTTTCCCGCATCGGTTAACGCGCTGTTGAGAGACGTAGTGCTTTGCGAGTTGGTGTGTTTGTAGGCGCCGCTATCACCATATCCGACAAAACCGAGACCGTGAACAGCGTCCTCATCACTTCTGTCGGCCGAAAGTGGAGATGGGTGTCCTGTTGGCGATGCCGGTGAGATGCCGGATGCTCCAAGAGAGGGAGAGCCAGATAGTTTCGCGTGGTCTGTGATGTTCGTTTCCGATGCTCTTCGCAAGAGCTTCCCTGATACCAGAATGTTCCTCTGCTTGAACCTCTCCAACCAAGTGGTGTTGATGGACTTCATCTGGCTGGCCTCAGGTCCGCCGTTGGTGGTACGAGAAAAGTGCTTTGCTTGATCGAGAATCTCATCGTCGCTAGGTGTTAATCCGGCGTGTTGCTGTCTCCTGACCCATGCCGCAACGGCCCGATCGATGTCAGGAAACTTTCCCTTGGTGTGCCGCCTGCCAGCGGGAGATTGACTTCTGTCCGCCTCCGGGTTCAGGTACTTCTCTTTGTTGCGTAGAACCTTGGATACGGTGCTGGTATGTCAAGGTTAGAATTTCAACGCACTCTTCATGCACATGCTTGAACCCACCTTCGTTCAACGCCAAACATGGCGCCGATATCCGTCTGCTTCACGTTGGGATGCTCAGCAGCATACTGACACATTTTCTTCCGGTCGTCGTCGGTCAAGACCCTTCGCTGTTGCGGCTGCGGGCCGTTTGTCAGCCGTGTAGGCCTTGAAGGGGCTGGGGCAACGACGGGTGCCATTCCCAAGGGAGGTGCCGAATAGCTGTTGGGGTTGGTCAACATGCTGGGCCACGTTGGCTGAGACGGGATCATGAGCATCGGTAGCTGGGCATGAGACTGTTGTTGATGAGTCTGCATCGGCTGCACAGGAGCTGGCGGAGGAGGCATTCTGCCGATTGACTCAGACGGTAATCCATGGGTGACTGATGGCATGAACGTGAAGCCTCCGAAATCCGACATGCTGTTCTGATGGCCGTATGGACTCATATCTCCCCAGCTCTCGGCGCCGAAGGTTGTGTGATTGTGACCCATATGGGTGTCTTCGTCCTGGGTGAGGTGGTTGTCCTGGTCCATGGTGGCAGTCCCCACGATGGAGTTGTTCATTGCTTATATAACTGTAAGATGCGTATTCGATCCCCAAAATCCAGTTTGGCAGTACTTAAAACGAGACTGTCTGGCTGGCCTGTTGTCGTAAAGTCCAGGTTCCAGGTTGGTGATTGCGAGGAGGGGTTCCGCCGAAGGCTTCGCCTTGACTGATGGGATGACACTCAGGCCAAGGGTGGGGATTGCTGGTCCCGACAGATGTTGGTGGGTTTGGCTTCAAGAAAGGAAGACACCATGCATGGCAGAGGTGGCCAATTGGTTCCTGAAAGCGCGCTGTGCAGGCGGTCTGCTTTGTAGGTCAAGAAGCCCTGGGCCTCTCAGGGTGACTCGATGCAAGTGCGTTGCAGGCTGCAGAGAGGTGTCGGGGACAACGTCGTCTATGAGTTGGAGGGCCAGCTAGCCGTATGTCTTTCCGTGGGTTCCTTAAACGAGAAGTGCCGGTCTGGTGTGCGGGTTCTGGAGTTGGAGTTTGAGGTCGTGCTCAGAATGCGGGTGCAACACCAACAACCCTTTCCTGTCGCGGCAACCGCCAAGTTGGTTCTCTGCCGTATCAAGAACCCCCAGCGAGTACCCAGAGTCTGTTCTAGAGGGTTTCCTGACCGTATTACGGGTTGAAACTACCTGGATTAACCGGGCTCAGGTTGTTGTGCCGGTCTTTGGCGAGTTGGTCGGGTGCTGGCGAAGACACGCCTCGCAACGATAAACTAAGGATGGGAGGAAAGAGGGATGTTTGAGGGATGATCGACTATTGAAAGAGTGCTGTTCCTGGGGAGAAGGCTTGTCTGTCTATTCGGTCGACCAGTTGAGGGTGATGGCGAACGAGCCTGACAGGACTGGAAAGTCGGATCGGGCCACTCAGAAGGGGTGAATCAGACAGCGGTATGCTGCAAGAATCAGACGCCGCGACGCACAAGGCAAGGCTTGAAGGACAAAGCTAGCAGGTCGAGGTTGGGGTAGGCGGGCTTGTCTAGATAGTAATACTAGGTATCAGGCGCACGGAAGGATGAAGGTTGTGTGGGCGGCGGTGGGCCGCAGTGTACATATGTAGAAGCTCTGCAGGCAAAGCGACGGCGGATGCTTCCCATGCCCATGTAAGTACACTACCGGCAAGGGTCTGGGGTGTGTGTCTCGTCTTCTCCTGGGGGTGTGGTGGGTATGATTGAATCTCAGTAGAGCCGGGGTCTCGACTCGGCCCCTCGGGGTGTGTGGCAGTAAACCAGACCTTACGAAGGATAAGATGAAGTTCTCTACGTACCACAACCGCGTGGTCATTAGGTAGGCGTTGAGAGGCGATGGAGGAAAAGAGTAGACACGCGCAACGTCGGCCAGGTGAAAGTCTGGTTGATGAGCGATGTGTTGATCAAGACAATGAGAATGCAAATGCAACTTGCCCGTCAGAAGAAAGCGCCCGGCAACGAGAGTGGTTGTGATAGGCCTAAGAGAATGGTAAAGCCGCAAAGGTGCGACGTCAGGACTCGAGTACAGCACCGTCTTATGCATGAAGCATCATGATATTGGCAGGGAATGAGACAGAGTAGAATGGAGAATGGTTCCGCGAGGGCAGTAAAGAGATCCCTCGCAACCGGCGGGATTGAATGAGAGAGTCAAAGAGAGAAAAACGGGGACAAGGCAAATGCCGTAAAACTGAGTTCCAGGCAAATGGGGGATGATTGTTGACGTTGACGAGGTTGCGTATCTTCTGCGATGGTGTGAGTGTTTTCATCAATGAAGACATCATAGTCGGCCTAGAATTCATGTCTAGACCACTGACAACCGCCACGGCTAGAGTATTGAGGAGGAGCTAGAAGAAGCCACTGGCTCAGTTTGTCTCCGTTGCCGCATGGGAAGAAACGACGGACCATATGGAAAACGCTGTCGACGGGAATGGGACAAGCCACACACAGACACTAGTTGGGATGCTGATTTGCTTCCGTCTCGTCTCGTCTCGTCTCGTCCTATAGCGCCTTGTCTAGACCTGGCCTCGCGGCTCGCCTCGACTTTGCTGATGTCTTATTATTCCCCCAACGCTGGCTGGTAGGCGAACGGCTACTAGCCACTCGGGGCGAAATATGCTGCCCTCTCTTGCGGCTTGCGGCTGCTTCTGGCCTCTTGAGAGTCGAGATTAGCCATATCCTTGGCCCCTGGGTTGTGGAGCTGAGTCTGTCGGCCTCATGCTAGATGATGACAGCAGATGGGATGGATGGCCCAAAGGTGCGGATTGGGGAGATTCTGTAGGAAAAGCCGAATTTGTAACACCCGAGGAATACCATGGCAGACGACAACGAGCCTGGAGCCGACGGATGGGAAGAAAAAAAAAAAAAAAGGAAAGGTGGAAAACGAGATGTTACAGAAAACGGTTGCTTGGGTGCTCAATAATCAGGAAAAGCCGAGTCGGGGTCGAGAAACGGAAGAATCGCGCGCCAATTAGCTGACATCAGGACCTGCTTTGCGCTGAGATTACCACCCACACGACACGCACACACACACGCACTAGGTAACATGCTCACTGGAGTACTGTGTAGGTAGTGGCCGGAAAAGAGACGACGAGAGGTCTTGGTCCAAAGACGGACGGAGCATTTGCACCCTTGACGAGCTATAGTTGCGTGAGAGGAGAGACTGAGAGCAAGATCGGGTTAGTAGGAGACGGGGCCTAGGCGAGAAGAGCGGGTTCGTTGCCTTGCTCGCTCGCCGTAGTAAGGTAGGTATTCATACATGGTGTGACGGTCGGTTCCTCTCCTCTCTTCTGCCCTTGCCTCTGCTTCCGCGATGGGTACGAAGTACCGGTAGGTACTGGCGAGTGTTGCCCCGACAAGGGGTTAGATTGAGAAGAGGGGGATATAGATGAACGGTGCGGCGGCTTGCGTGGGGATATTGCCAGGACAAGGCGGAACGTTGAGGTATCCCTACGGAGTAGTGTGAGCGATGGTGGATGGAGGGATCATCCCAATATGACAAGTGAGTAAGTAGAACGAGACGAGACGAGGCAAAAAACGAGACATGGAGAAGTAAATGAGAAAGGGTGTTAGTCTGGCATTCGTAGATGAAGCCGCCGTTTCTATTTCTTAGTATCTAGCTGTTCCCCAGGGTGAAAAGGGTATGGAAGCTAAGGAAAGCGTGCAGAGGTAGCTGCCGAAGGCTGGGCAGTAACGCATTTCCTGACGGTTCTATTGTCAACTGAAGACAGCTTACCTAAAGCCTGTCAAGGTACGTGGTTGAAGTCTGGAATGGAACATTGAGGTATCTGACATGTAACGGTACTTGCATTCCTCGCTTCGGTTCCATACCAGTGCCATGTTTCTCGGAGAAGTGGTCTTGGATAAGGTGTCTGCCGTGCCTGCCTCAGCACGCGGATGATTCAGACCTGCCCGTCTTTTGGAGTCGACCTGAGATGAACGAACGGGCGGCATGGAAGGAAACGACTTGGACGGATACGGACGCCAAAAAGAAAGGAAGGAAACAACGTCGTCCCATCTTGGGCAGTGGACCGGCGGGCAAGCGTTGACTGGCTCACCCGTCCATTCCCTGCTCCACCACAAGCCCTAAGGACGCACGGGGCAGGGATATCTGAGCAGGGGGAAGGAGACTCTCACTCAAGAGAGAGCAGGAGCAACATGTGCACTGTGAGCTCTGCAATCCTTGCTTCCTTCCCATCTCAAGCTGCATCCCGTCAAGAGACAACCTCCTCCACTGTTCCAGGGTGGCAGGAAGACCTTGACCTTCCGCCTTCTTAACCTCACGGCGGACCCACTTCAAGCATACGGGTCCACCTTTTACCGCCATGGTCCGTACCTTCCCCGAATGAACGAGCTTCAAAGCTCAAACAGTGGAGGGCAAGAGATGGACAGAAACACTTGGTGACCGGGGGACCTGCCTGCCCTGAGCGGAGAGCAAAGGAGAAAATAAAAAAAAGGAAGTAGCAAGTGGTTAACCACCAAGGTCCCGTCCCGTTCTTGCCTTCCATTTCCATGATACCCCGGCCAGCTTATGAGGGGTCGTCTTTTGCTGCTGTTGCTTCTCATAGGGCCATCGCTGCCCAATGCTCCTTCATTGCGACTCATGAAGCTCCATGCCTTCAATTTCATGGATGCTCGCCTGGCTCTCTTTCTCCTGCTTCTCCAAGTACACTCTTCCCATTTTGTCAACAAGCATCTTCTACTCCGTCCTCCGTATGAATACCTTACTCAGACATCGTCGCAGGGGCATTTACAGCGAGCCAGTAGCAGTCTCATTTGCACTTCAAAGACCCTGACTGGATCGGGGCTCCAACTTTCTTACCTTCCCGCTGCCTTAGTCCCTCGGCACCTTACACTTTCATTCGACCGCTCGGCCGCCTGCCTCCACGTCTCCAGCCGCTCCCACCAAGCTATCCGTATGTACACTATCCATCCCAACCAAGCTACCTTTGGACGATGGACGAATACAATGTGAACGACCTGCCAGAAACACATCCACTCAACGGCCTCATCATCTGACACTCCCGCTACGGATACCCATCCTGATTCCTGACCGACACTTCGTTATAACCTCGATTCGCCATTCCTCCATGGATACGAGTCCAAGAGCCTGCGATGCGCGAATACTTTACCAAGAGGCGCCTTCCGTGCCACATTGACCTCCTATCGCACCTTGTTCCCACCACGGCCTATTAGCTCAGAGCTGTATAGATGGTATTCTCTCTCACCGATTCAATTTGCGCCTAACTCGGCACGCCGCACGCCAACCGCGAAACTTGCCTTTCCCCTCTTGCTCTCGCCCTTCTCCAAATCTAGTCCCCCAACTCGCAAACGCCTCGCGGATACATCGCCCCGACCCTACCACGCCGTACAAGTAACAAGCCTGCTTGGTTGTCTCTGGTCCGTCAAAGCTGTCAAGCGATCGACTGATGCTACGAGAAATGGCCCGCCGGCGACCTGACCCATCCCTGTCTGGCGTTGTCAGGGGAGGGGGGCAACCCCGACGTCCCACCCTTCTCTGAGCCGTTCAAAGTACTGTACGGATACAAGGCCATTGACCGTCTAGGGAGGGGGTGTGGTTTGATAGACGTAGAACCTGTTGCGGATATCCTGTCGTTCACTCGCGGACTGCTATCGCCTTTCGAGCAACCCTCAGGCCCTTGTCAGCAAGTATCAAAATAGCGTGCCATTTTGTCAGCCTCGGTCTGTTCGAATCAAGTCAACCGGGCGTTGCCAGCATAAACGTCTGCGGCAGTTTATGGCGATCAATGCATTCTACCACAGGGGCCTCTTCAGTCTGGTCTGATTACTTCAAACCACCTCCCGCCAAAATCCATTTGCGAACACTCAAATCCCACCAGAATTCCGACGTCAAACAGGCCAAGGTCTGCTGAACGCTTTGATCTCTAATTTCAAGTTTGATATGCGACGTCAATGGCAGTCTGTCAAGCCTTGCTGCTGCCCGATGTTGGACTAAGAACTACCCGAACCACTCTGACGCACCCGCCACGACATCGCCAAAGCCGTTCCCGACAGCTTTCCGTAGAAGATACAAGGACTCCTCGCGACGCAATCCAACATTCATGGAATTGGCATCCACCACCGTCACACTCATCGTGGAGCGTCGCTCAACAGCCAACGCCCCTCGTTGGACGGCCAGGCAATCGCGATGGGCGCCTCCCCTTCTTCCAACGCTGAACGCAATGCTCTCTCTATTAATCATAGCTTGTTGTACTCGGTTAGATCGCCGGTCCATGCCGTCCATCTTGTGGCCCATCTCCCATTCAATTGAGCTGCCGCGGTCATGCGGTTGGAGATTTGAGTCGATACAGTTTGGATAGATCTGGCTAGCTCATCATAGGCCGGACCTTTACATTCATTTTACAACCAATGGGTCAAGAACAGGGGATACTCGCCCATATCCGGTCCACTCTTGTGAGGCATTGAACTCCATTGATCTCTGGGTAGCTCCAGCTCCATGACCACCTTTGCAGTCGTCACAAGACTTGATACGGCAGTCAGAAGACAAGCACAAGCGCCATTTCGGTCTAGGGAACCAGAGTTGAAGAAGGATTGCTGACCAACAGCAGCGCTCAAATCGTTTTCGGTATTCCCATTGGACATAAATTCCGGATTCGTCACCAGCTTCGGGCTGGTCATTGGATGGAAAAGATTTCTTTCGCATGAGGCGGTCCTAGCGAGGCCACTGAGAGACCCGGACTGATTCTCAGTTGGTCAGATGGTCACGTACGGATACAAAGACTTGCTAAACCGTGGGTCCATCTACGAAAGGCTTCGTTAAACGGATGGTCTGGCCAAGCCTCGACGCAATGGCGCGCAAATGTGAATACCTACCTCAACGGAGAGGAGAGTATGGCCGGAAGGTACAACTATGATTGGGGCATGATCCAGGTTGCGATCCAGGGTCGACCAGCATCCACCCGCGGTGGCCCGCAACGTGCGCCGTTCTCAATTTGAAGCGGGCCCTGCCGACGGTATCCTAGGCCAGGCTGAATTGATACCACAGCATCCCCGACTCAACCCTCACCCGAAGCAGTATCTGATCGCTCTAACCGTAGCTTCGCATCAGTCATGAGAATGGGCTCTCATTTCACGACAACGTTGGGCAATCAACATGCATAATGATGATGGGCGGGCCGGGGAATAGACTAAACAGGAAAGAAGGCTGATTCGGAGACCCATCTACTCCATCTTTCCCTTGGCATCTTCCCGCCGCTAGGTAGTGTAAGGGTTTTCCATGAGTTCATGACTGACGCGTCTTAGCCAGGCTGACGATATCACTAGGTATTGAAGCCATGCTAGTACGACGACGAGAGCAGTCTGCCCATCAACTTTATTTCAGAAGCTTTCGGATACGAGGGAAAATCTCAGGCTCTGGTACTCGCCTCGTCAGTGGCTGTCAGCCGTGGCTAATCACGTTTAGCTGCTCTACCTGGTCGAAGTAGCAGGAATTCACAACCAAGCCATTGTTTCAAGCCATGAGAAGCTCGGGCTTTGGGAATTTAGCCAGACACGAGGACTTTCATTTGACACAGCGGATGACCGCATCCACGTTCTCATGTCTCGAGGAACATGATGGGCAAGATGCCAATTAGTCATTGCCCTCCTCGACGCCTGCTTCAGCGCCTGGTCCATTGGTAGACTACCTCCGATCAAGGCTGCATTTGGTCTTTCTGAAAGTACCACCTACGCCTGCACGCACGAGACGTCCTCTACCAACTCTGCCCTTTGGAGCAGCAATCTAGGAGGAGTCTAGGAGATGAGAGCTGCGTCAGTGCTCGGGTGGAGCGCAGCTTGCTTGTTCCCGAGCCCTCCCCCAAAACCCGCTGGAACTGACTGGGCTGGTCGACTCATGTCGCCTTGGAGCGAGCAGGGGACCTGGGCAGCACGAGCAACATTGCAGCGCAGCATCCGCCGCCGCCGCCGTCTGTGTTGCCCCTGCGCCTATTTACCCTTCCCTGCAGCCGTTCTCCCGTGGTCTGTGTCCTATCGCCCGCCGTTCGCCTCATCTGTATCTGATGCAAGGTACGGATACACTCATCTGCTCGCAAGCAATCTCGAGTCGAACTCGAGACGAAAGGGCCAAGATCGCTGGATGGATGTCGACTGCTACCATACTCCGCAATCGACCTTTCCTTGCTTCGCATATCGCGGACTCGGACCCGGGACCCCTCGTCCAAGCTCCTCCCATCATCCTCCGAGGATAAGATGAGATGAGATCACGGCTCGCTGCGAAGGCCGCGGCCGACCCACCACCAACTAGCACGTCCCGCCCAGCAGTAGCAAACAAAAATCGGGACTTGCGAGAGGAAGGGGAGATAAAAGAGACCGCGAGACATGGGCGGTAAAGCAAGCCCTGTGAAAGGCAGGCGGAAGAGGAGGATTCGCATCTGACTGGTGGTGAAGCCCTCCATCCCCCCTCTTTTATTTTCGTTCTACTGAGGAAAACCAGGTCCGTGGCTGCTGTCATTCCGCCGGGCACGTTTCTCGTCGGGGAATTGCAGTGAAGTGCATCGCGCCAGTAGGTAGTGCCGAGTCCGTCTCGAGACAAGCGTCAGCAGCAACGGGATGAGAGGACAGAAGAAAAGGCGGAGTTATGAAGAGCAGCATTGCAGAGAGCAGAGAAAGGGTGTCGTCTTAGCTCTGCTTTAAGCGCCGACGTTGCCCTCGATCCAGGGAGTCCCCCGTCTGGCTCACCCACACACCCCTCCTCTGCCTGTCACCCCATGCCCTGTAGGAGGAGTGAGGCAGAAGACGAAGTGTGTGTGTGTCTGCGGATATGTGTGTGTGTGTGTATGTTGGTAGAGGTGTGTGCGCGCGGAAGCTGCATGGTCTCGTCCACGCTACTCATTGCTCTAGTTCCTTTCTCTGTCTCTCTTCCACCACCTCTTCCTTTCCCATTCGCACGCGGAGCAAAGTAGTGCAAGCTGGCCAAGGGGATACACGCCCGGTACGGACACATGCGTTGAGCCTTCTTGCAGAAAGAAGAATATGCAACCCACGCTTCTCTTGGGAGGCATCTGCGGTCGCAGGACAAGAGGCCCTCGGCTATGCAGGTTCGCCCACGATTTGGGCTCCGTGACTTATTCTCCCATTGAGTTGCTGCTGCTGGGTGAACTCCAGATGGTGGCGCGTGTGGGGTAGGGACGGGGCGGGGATGGGGGCAGCTTTCCAACGACAGTCTATCTATATCCGTACTCCATCCAGAATCTCGCTTTTCGCCCCCTTCGACGACGACATTTTGAAGGGCAGCCACGCGAAAGCGGACGGCGCAAGATGATGGCGGTGCCGTGCACGCACGCACGAGCGCGAGGCTGGCACGGCTGGCTAACGAAAAAGAAGCCACGCTCCTCCGTATCCACACGGGTTGGAGACTGGCAAGAGAGCCCTTCTCTTTTTTTTTCCCCCTTAGGCGGCACGGCGGGCTTGTCCTGTCAGGCACGCGCCGCCCGGCAGCCAGCCTTTAGTGCCCGACGGCTTCGCGGCGAGGATGGGAACCACGGATCACTCGAACTGTTATGGACGGGATGGGCAGTCAAGTGTCTAGGTAGTGTGGGCTTTGGCTTCACTACCGTACCGTGGGAGTCTGGACCCTAACGCGCGAACTGGACCGGTCCATCCGTTCCCAATCCAACCCAAATTCGTTACAATGATCGCATACAATGGTACAATGTTTGTTTCCTAGTTGAAGGATACCCCAGGTGGAGATGGGAAAAACGATTTGAACGCAACAAAGATGAAGATGAACATTGTTTTTTTTCTCTCTCTCTGCTGCCAGAAGCCGTTTTGATTGAGAACAAATCACTTTTTTTTGTTGCAAGCCTGAACTCCCACCACCCCTTTTCCCTCCCTTCCTTTTCATCTCTGTATCTTCGTCTCTCCTCTGTAATGCAAAAAGCAGCATGGTGATACCGTGTAAACGCTTGCCTGGACTGCAGAAACCAACGTCGCCCTTGATCCCCGTCAAACACACATCCTCCCATCCATCCTTCCATCCCTCCCCAGCTCCCGTCTCCCATCGAAATCTCGGCGGCAAGAAAACAAGATAGAGAGCAGGGAAGATGCCTCGACGCCGCCCATCAAAGGGGGGAGCTTTAACCTCCCCCTCCCCCCCTCCCCCCCCCCCCCCCCCCCCCCCCCCCCCCCCCACCCCCCCCCCCCCCCCCCCCCGCCTCGGCGGGAAGAAAAAAAAAGAGGGGGCGGGGAAGCCCCGCCGCCGCCCCTAAAAGGGGGGGGCTTTAACCCCCCCCCCCCCCCCCCCCCCCCCCCCCCACCCGCCACGAAATGTCTGCTTGCGGCCAACACACATTCCCACATCCCATGCTCGGTAAGGAAAAGTAGGTAGCGTACCAAGACTGCAAAAACCCCACACACTCTTTTACTCGCCCAGCTCAGCCTTGTTCCTTTGGGAAAAGGAGAGAGAGTCGCAACCAAACAGTGCCATTGTGTTTCCCGGCCTTGGCTTAGAGCTTACGCGCGTAAGATGCAGTAGGGGTCGGCCGGTTCCTTTCGTTTCAATGTTCGCTTTTGAAAGGAGGTAGGGTAGCGTGCTTCTCCTTTTTCTTTTCTTTTGAGTTTGCACACGATGCCATGGAATCGGGACTCGAGTAAGATGGTAACTTGGAGGGAAGGGGGCGTGGAGGGGGGAGGATGGCGGAGGAAAGAGGCAAGTGGCTTGAATTTTGTGTTCCCTTCGCCAAAATGGGGGGTTTGTGGACGAGGAGGACCCCGAAGGCGGGCTGAAAGTCTGGGTCTGGGCTGGGCTGGGCTTGTTTCTCCTTGGCCAGGCAAGGCATTTTGAGGCGGCGTGGGGAGAAGCATGACGACAAACGGCCGCCATGCGCCGCCGAGTTTTAGCTCGTCGCCGCGTTCGTCAGCGCTTGACGATTGTGACTGCGAGTAGTTTGGAGATGTTAGTGCCATTGTTTTGCTTTTCCTTAACCGAACTTCACTTGACTTGAGGCACGCTTCCTTTCCTCGCCGGCTCTTGTAGAGTAGTTCGCGGGGGCAAATGAAGGTTTTGAGATGATGATGATGACGACGACGGCGACGATGACGACGACCAGGGAAACTAAGGATTGGTGGGGGGAATCCTCGACACAAGATGAAAACGTACCGATATCCTCGTCGGCTAGCTCATGAGATAGACCGACGCGCTGAGGCTGATGCTTTACGGACTTGCCGTACACAATGGCGGTCTTGAACTGTTCGAGGATACTCCTGTGAATTTGGTTACACTAGACGGAAACACGAACCGGTTAGCTAAGCGTAGCGAGCAAGAGCAAGCCGCAGCGATATGCGCTTCCGTCCGTCCAACTTTCGCGCGCCCCTTTGTCGCAGGGGAGAGAAAAGAAGGTTCACCCTACGACACGGGTTCGCTCGGGACGAGACGCAATGTCACGCGGAGGACCGGCTACTCACGAAATCTTCGACCGTGCACCTGTTTGAGCGGAGCACGACGGGCTGAGAGTAATCTGGCAGTTTGCCCTTTGGCTTCGTATAAACGCGAACCAGCTTGAGCTTATCCCACCTATACGCCAAGAAAAGAAAATCAAAAACGTTAGCTTCTCTGGTCTCGTGAGTGCAATTTTAGGGGTAGCGGGTTCATCCTTGTCGTGGACGACGATCGTGTCGCTCCGGGAGGCGAAAACCGGCCGAAGGTCCGACGGCTAACGAGGAAATGAAGGCAAGGGGGAAGACAAAGTTAGAAAATCCTTACATTGCCTCCATCAGCTCATCAATGTTCCAGCCCTGCTCCGAACTGATCGGCACGGCGTTCGGGATACGGTAGAGCAAGTCGAGCTCCTCGATACTGATGGCGTCAATCTTGTTGAGGACGTAGATGACGGGGATGTAGTTTCTGCTCCTCGCCTCGAGGACGTCAATGAGGTCGTCAACGGTGGCGTCGCAGCGAATGGCAATGTCGGCCGAGTTGATACGGTACTCGTTCATAACGGCCTTGATCTCGTCGTGATCAATGTGGGTGAGGGGCACGGTGCTCGTGATGTTGAGGCCGCCCTTTTCCTTCTTCTTGAAGGTGATGTTTGGCGGCGACTTGTTGATGCGGATGCCGAAGCCTTCGAGTTCCGTCTCGATGACACGCTTATCCGTCAGGGGCTTGTTGACGTCCAGGACGATGAAGATGAGATGGCACGTCTTTGCGACGGCGATGACCTGGCGACCACGACCGCGGCCGTCCTTGGCTCCTTCAATGATACCCGGCAAATCAATGATTTGCAGCGGCGCACCTGAGGAACGCAACAGAATGTCAGCGTTTTCGACCTTTCACTTCCTCGTTCCTTTTCTCTTGCCATATCGTCGTCCCGAACCACATAAAATCTGTCAAAACGTACCATTGTAAGTGACCTGACCCGGAACGGACGTCAATGTCGTGAACTCGTACGCCGCGGCCTCGGAGTGCTGGCCCGTCAACTTGCTCATCAAGGTACTCTTTCCCACGGACGGGAAGCCAATGAAGCCGATACTCGCGACACCCGTACGCGCAACGTCGAAGCCGGCACCGCCGCCGCCACCACCACCCGAGGGTGTCAAGAGCTCACGCTTGAGCTTGGCGAGCTTGGCTTTCAGTTGTCCCAAATGAAAGGACGTGGCCTTGTTCTTTTGGGTCTTGGCCATCTATTTGAGGGAAGAGAAACCATTCCGTCAGCTTGCTGATTTGCGCGTCGTATTCTTGTCTAATATATCTGTGTAGAGGGTGGAGGGGGATTTTTTCCTGATGTCGTCGGATCGAAGATTTGGGTTTCTCGGGGGCGGATGCCTGTCTGTCGCCAACGTCACGAACGCATGTTCCCTCGTTCTGGTCATAGACAGAGACAGCCTTCGAGTTTTCTCGACATCGTCGACGACGGAAAAGGGGGCGGGACGAGGGTTGCCCTCGGTTTGAAGGTGAAGGGGAAGGAGGGGTTGGACACGTACTTCGGCCTCGATATCTTTGATCTACATGAACAAAAGTGTTAGTCAAGATGGTGTCCTCGCGAATAGATAAGGGAGAAAGGATGGAAAATCCAATCTAGCCGGCTATGAAGGTCTCGGCGAGAAACAGTACCTTGTCAACTGTGGTCGCCATGATTGCGGTGTTTCGTCACTCGAGACGTTCCTGCGCTGTATGGAGGGGTTCGATTTATGGATGGCTAGCTTTTCCGATTGCGACGTCGACGTCCAAGCCGCGGGCAGAAGAGAAAGCGAATAGAAAGTGTGCCGTGGCTCGCAGAGTTTGTGGGGGTATCAAATAAGTAACGTTCGTCGTCGTCCAACTTCTGTCTCGCTGCCCAGGTTTGGGTTGATGGTTCTGGCAGTTGGTGATTCTGGTTGTGCACCTGGTGGTGGATTTTGGGGTGCAAAATGGCGGGGACATTGGCACCTTGTGCGAAAAGGCTAAGGTACTGCACATGAAATTTCAGCGGGGCATGGTGGGAATGCACCGCCTTCATTGGCTGCACAGGTTTTTTGAACGCAGTGATGTCAGAAACCTGAATCGTTCAATCAAAAGTCTTTCATATCTTAGGTAAGAAACGCCAGCACTTGGTTTGGTGATTGATGATGCGCAACAATTCTTGAAGATATTGAAAAAGGCACGAAGAAATGACCAGGACTGACAGCATTGTGAATGTGTTATTTTCGTCGTCTACCTTCCCTAACCCTGTGTCCCATCCCAACTAGTAATGCTTCCCAGGCTCCCAAGCTCTTGATTCTCGGCACTCGTCCAGATCTAATCATGGCCATCCAATCCGTTGTTCATCAACTGACCACACACAAGAGCTGACTCTTGCGCTTCATGAACTATGAAAGTTCCATTTGTCGATATAGTGTCTTATCACCCAACAGGGCCTAAAGAGTAAATACCATGGTGTTGCTGTCCACAAATTGGCGTGAGTGACACGCCTTGAGCATCCTCCAGCCCCATTTCGAAGTCAAGCAACTGCCCCTATCGTAAGGATCGCAAGGCCAGCTAAAGGGCAGATAGGTAGCTGGGTCTATCTCTGATGATGCACAGCGGTGCCTTGGTACGTTCCATCGGCACTCGGTGCGTAAAGATCCGGGGATTGCTGTGGCAATGTGTACATGTGTATATTAAATATTGGTTCGTTCGATCTACTTGTGATCCAACTCAACTCAGTTGGTGCTTGGCGCCGATACGCCGTTAACGCCATTAGGAACAAGTCTCGGCTCGGGCAACACGGGCGCTGTAGCGGAGGCTGCCGGCTGGGTATCATTGACGGTCTCGACCATTGCCTCTGTGGCATTCGACTGGCTCCGTGGCGACCAATGTCCGCCGTTGGGCATCGTCGGCGTTTTCGTGCCATTCAAAAGGAAGTCAAGCCCTTGTTCTTTGCACACGCGGGCATAATCGGGGTCGCCAGGGAAAACCTGCTGCAATCCCTTTCGAGGGACCCGCTTCTCGGGAAACGGTGTGCTGCTTGTAGCAGACAAACCAGGCATCTGCTCCTCGACCATGACACCGTTGATATAATATTTGTTCCTCGGCGCAAATCCCAAGAATCGATCAGCATCGGGGTCCTGTTTCCATTTCTGCGGGACTTGCCATCCGTAGAGTTGGCCTTCATTGTCTGGTAGTTCGCGATACTCAACGCTCATCTTTAGGTCCCGAAGATGCGGAACGTCCTGAGCAATCGACATCAAATCCGACACCTGTATTCCGAGTCAGCCCAACCACACATTATCATCACCGGACAAAATTAAGACGCACCTTGACGAAGAACATGTCCATCTTCAAGAACTTCTCACGGGCCTCGCCACGGAGTTTTTCCTTTGAGCGGAAGCTCATCTTGAAGGGATCCTCGCCCTCTCCGTAATAATCTGAAAGGCCAGTCCCAAGTTCGTAGAAGTTCTCCTTAAGCAAGGCATACCAATCCGACTCGAGTCTCCAGATAACCTTTTTAGCGAGGTCGGACACGGAAACATGTTCCCAAGCCGCATCTAATTTTCCGTCAGTAATGATCAACGCGGAAAGATTTTGTGAGCACTTACATTTTGACAAGGAGAGGTCCTTCTCCCCGAGGAGTAGCGCAACATGGGTGTTTAGCACCCACTGTTCTCTACCGTTTGCCGTGCCATTTGCTTGCGGCTGAATAGTGTCGAACCGCACGCCTTGCATATGCTTGAATTTGGCGGCGTATTCCGAAGTCTTGGGGTTCGGGCAAGCGTCGAGCCAGCGCAACAGAGGAGGCAGCTTCGCCACGCGCACGCGTTCTTGCTCCTCGAGGATACGGCGCTGCTCGGCCTCTTTAGCAGCTCGCTTGCGCTCCAACTCCTCGCGTTCAAGTCGCTCCTTGCGCTCACGCTCTTGCCGTTCCTCCTCTTCGCGAACTCGCTTGGCTTCCTCGGCAGCTTCGCGCTCGATGCGTTCCTTGCGGAGTCTCTCCTTTTCTTCTCGCTGCTTGCGAGCTTCCTCCTCTTTCCTCTTCGTTTCTTCCTCCTCACGTCGCTTCTTCTTCTCCTCCTCCTCGCGGAGCCTTCGTTCTTCTTCTTCACGCTCGCGTTGCTTCTTCTCTTCGGCCTCGCGCCGCTGCCGTTCTTCTTCCTCCTGGCGTTTCTTTTCGAGTTCGGCCTTGCGCTTACGTTCCTGCTCCTCACGATGTCTTGCTGCTTCCTCCTCCTTCAGGCGTTTCTCCTCAGCCTCGCGCTCACGCTGTTTCTGCTCAGCTTCACGTTTCTTCTGCTCAGCCTCTCGCTTCTTCTCTTCAGCCTCGCGTTCGCGTTGACGAGCCTCCTCTTTTTTGCGGGTTTCTTCGGCCTCAGCTTCACGGCGCTTTCGTTCTTCTTGACGCTTCTCTTCTCTCCTACGCTCCTTCTCTTCGAGACGCCGCTTCTCGTCGTCGCGCTCCTTCTTGATTCGTGGTTCCGCTTCCACTGTGTCCTTTACATCCGACGCATCTGGCATCTCGATGTCAAAATCCTCAGATTTAACGTGGATACTAGACTTATCACTATTGCTCGATTTGCCGGATTCTCGTCTGTGGCCATCGACATCTGCCTTAGCCTTAGTCGGTCTCCGATCGCTGTCGTCGTAGTCTCTCAAGCTGGACTTGGATCGAGGCGGGCCATCACGAGGTGCCCTGTGAGGATCATCGGGTGAAGCGGTCGATTTTGGTCGTCGCTCCTTACCCTCAACATCAAGCCGCCGACGCTTCACGGGTGCCTCGCCTTCATCCTTGTCTCCCGTGCTTGAGTGTGGTGGCGTGACACTAGAACGATGTCGTTTGGACGAATTATCGCCAGACACCGATAGCCGATCTCGAGACTCGTCCCTCTTGAGAGCTTTCGTGCGATCGTGGTACTTCTCCGACAGCGGCTCGCCCTTTGGCTTCTCGGGATGATCGTCAAGTTTTGTTGGGTCGCGGGGGCTCGAAGGATCTTTCAATGATGATGTGGTGGACACCATGCTCGCTCGTCGGTTCTTTTCTCTCTCGCCACGAAGCTCCCCCTTGGATACGAGCTTACGGCGCGGCTTAGCAGCCTCTCCTTCAGAGGACATCGCGGCGACGTCGGACTCGGCTCGTTTCGCTGCTTTAGCAGCCTGCTTCTGCGAAAGTGCGGGTGAAGCCTCTCGGTCTGAAACAGCGATTGTAGGTACTCGGTCTTCTTTACGCGGCCTGCCAGGACCACGCTTCGGTGAGATCTGATCTTCGTGAAATGAATCCGCCCTACGTTTCTCCTTTGGACTTGTGATGGTTCGTCCAGAAGAAAGTTTCTTCCTCTTCTCCGGATCACGGGACGGGCTAGAGAGGTTACGTTTGTGCGCACGCGCTTCATCCTTGAGTTCATTCCGACCTTGGCGCTTTGTCTCGCGATCCTGCTCTCTGTCGCGGTCCTTTTCGCGTTCTTTTTCACGCTCGCGTCTGCCAGGAGATTTTGTCTTCGAAATGTCGCGGTGTGACTTTCTATAGGCATCGTAAGACTCCTTGAGCATGTGCTCCTCGTCTTTCCAGTTCGTTCCCTGTCGACGGCGGGCAATTTCGTGATAGGTCTCGCCTTTGAATCGGCGAGTCGGATCAAAATTCCCCTGGTCCAAGAGTAGTCTGACGACCTTAATATTTTCCTGGCCGATCGCCGCCAACATTGGGGTGGCGAATTCGGGTGGCATGCTCGAAACAGGTGCAGGGTCTGGGTTCGCTCCACCAAGAGCCAGGAGCAGTTGAATCACCACTTCATGGCCTCCACGAGCAGCAGCAACCATGGCTTCTGAGTCATCGCAACCGTCCTTGACTTGCAAAATCCGCGTAACAGTCTCTTCGTCGCCCTTTCCTGCAGCTTGCCGTAACGTCTTGTCGTCAAGTGACATGTACAAGAGATGATTGCTTGTCTTGTTTGCCCTGACGGTGCCGGCTCGCCGACCGCTGGCGTTGGACGCAGATGGTGCAGGTGACCGACGAGGGCTGTCTGGGCCATGAGATGATCTACTGTCGAATTGGTCGGTAGGGTGGTGATCTTCGGATGTACGTCTGCGTTCTCCTTGTCGTGACTTGGCTTCGTTCAATGCGGCTCGGAAATCGTCTGCATTCTCCAAATCGTCGCTAACTCGGTCCAAGGGTTCCTCTCCGCTCAGGTTGGCTTTCCTCGGATTTACCCCCGCATTCAGCAACAGCTTGACCACTCCCAAGTGACCGTTGTCGACAGCGTCTAACAATGGTGTGTCTTTGTCATAGTTGACACAATCCAAATTGCAGCCCGCGTCGATGAGGAGTTTGACGATGTCCTCGTATCCGTTAATCGCAGCAATCTGAAGTGGCGTGTTGCCAGCATAGTCGGCCACATTGAGATCCTCGGGTCGCTCTCCCAGTCTTTGCTTGGCCAGGTCGTACTCGCCTCGGGCACATGCCCTAGCGAGGAAGGTTTGGCCGTGGGCGTCGAGGTGTTTCTTGTGTGGTGCAATCTTGGCCGGCGACATATTTGACTCGGCGGTGGCGGGGGTGGAGAGGTTTCGCAGCTTGGAGCTCCGAGGATGAGGGCTACCACTGGCAGAGGATTCATCCGAGTGATAGTCTGTAGATTGCAGCGGCGGAGGCAGACGTTTCTTCTTGTAACTCAGGCCATTAGACGAGTTTGCGGGAAGTTGGGTCGAGACGCTCCGCCTGTGGGCACGTGGGTGGTGTGGAGAGACGGATCTGGTGCGTGATCCTGAGTGGCCGTCGTGTTCTCTCCTAGACGAAGACGAAGACTTTGGTTCCTTGGGTAGGCGAGCTCGAGCTTCTATGGTGTTGTGATCCGAGATTCGTTGCCGTCGGACCTTTCGATTTTCCGCCTCATCATCCGAGTCTGCCCTGGAAGCTTTGCGTTTGTGGGGAATTCTGTCGATGGACTTTGCCCGGTCTTTCAGGGACAGCTTGGGGGATTTCCTACGGTCAGCGCCCGTATCGGAATCGGAGTGCCCACCAGATCGACGCCTGTGGTGGGGAGGGGATGCAGGAGCCGAGCTGAGGCCGCTGGAACCATCTTTGCTCCTGGCCGATTGATCGTGAAGGCGCTTCTTCTTCAGCCCGAGAGAGGAAGCCGTTTCGGACAGACGGGCAGGATTGGCCGTCTTTTCCTTGTCGCCATCTCTGCTGGCACTCGCATCACGATTTTTCCGGGGAACCAGGGGAACGGGGAGAACCGGGGGTTCCCCATCGCTGCGGTCCTCGTGCTTTACCTTCCTCGCCTTGGAGGGCGAATGGCCATCCTTGCCAGGCAGTACGATGGTCTCGGCATCAGAATCTCGGTCGACAGGAGCATCGTCGGCTACGGGAGGGGCGCGAGATACGATTACGCTAGGCTTGACGTCTTTGGATAGATGAGGCGGGGATTTGATGGAATCGTCCACGTTTTTGGTCGGTTTGCTGTTGGACTCGTGAGACTCGTCAGGTTGGTGATTGCCCGGTCGCTTCTCCGCCGCAGCGACGGGCTTCGACTTGTCGGACCCGGCAGCATTCTGCGCATCCATATCATTTATCTAGAGGTCGAAAAACTGGCCAGCACCATCCTGGCCAAAGGTCGGCCGCGAGAAAGAGGGTTGGAGAGGCGGATTGAATTGAAGACGGCCGGTAGACTAATTCTCAGTCGCTCGAGGTGACCCCCCTAAGAGAAAGTGGCCAGGTCAGTCACGGGGGGGTGCGCGCGCGAGAAAGGCGTTGGGCGTGGGTGTCGGACGGGGAGGAAAATGCTGCGTATTGGATATCGGATCACGTCGAGTATGAAAGGAACAGAAAAACGACTAAGGAAGCGCCTGGCCGGGACAGAATAATGCGGGCGAGATGGACGGAGGCGGGCGTTGGTAGAGAATGCGGGAAAAGAGACTGTTGGTGACGCTTGATGCTTCGATTTGGCTGAAAGGTGGAAATGGGGCCGCGAGCGAGTCTTCAGAGTCAAAAAGTCTGATCGCCACCTCTTTGATTGGGCCCGACCAGGGGGGAGGGGACTTGCTCGAGAATACGGGACACGGAACAGCCACAACCAGCAAAGGAGACAGGAGACAGGAGACCTGACAGAGAAAGCAGCAGTAGCAGCCGGGCATCAGACAAGCAGGCACACAGCACACAGCACGCAGCCCTGAGGCAAGCAGCAGGCTATGGAAAGTGAGGTGTGCAGCAGGCACCTGGTGGTAGCGGCACTGGCAGTGGCAGCCTGACGACTGAGGTGGCCACATCAGCCAGCAGTCGGCACTAGGTACGTACTGGGGTCGAATTCGACAAGCGGTACTTGGGATCCCACCGGAGTTTTGCAGTATCTACAAGTACCCGGCGTCGACGAAAAGTACGCTGCCTCCTTGGGTGGCAGACCAAACGACCTAGGATTCAACCTGGACGTTAGCCCCGGCACCCACCTTGCTTCAGAAAGATAGGGTGAGATTGAGATAGCAACGCCGTCATGTTTCTCTTCGCAAGCTGCATCGCTGGCTGCACGTTGTCGCTAGGCCACCTGACCCTGGACACACCAACCTGCAGAAATCTCCCATGGTTCCAATGCAAAACGAGTAGCTCGTCCATCCAAGGCTTTTTTCTGTGGTTTGCTAGTCCAAAAACTCGTCTTTCTCCCGCTGGTGGAAAACCTCGAATCTGCCCGGTGCGTGTTCTTGGTGCGACTCGAATGGTACGTATCGAAGCCTCCAAATTCCCCATGCCCCACCTCGGCCAATCCTAGCCCCCTCCAGAGTCGCAGCAGGCTCCTCTTCCCCCTCCCCGGCCGTCGCATCTTGAATTCAAATGGCGAATCATGAGCGACATTCAAAACGGAGAGCTCATGAAGCGGGACCAGACCAGCCAATCACCCACTGTGGCGGATAGCACCACTACCACTGGGAACGGACACCTTACCGTCAGTCACACGCTGCCTGTGACTAATCGACCTGCCGTTTCCCGATTAGACCTAGTGTACTCTAAGCAGGTGTCCGTTCTCGCCTTTTCTTGTTATTAGTGCAATACCTCCCATCCTTGACTGCTTGAGGCAACTGGCGACCTCAGGTTTGGCGTGTCTGACAACCACAAGCAGGCGCGCTCAAGTCTTAGGTCGGAGACTGGAGTTGGACGTCTTCTTGCCCTGTCGCTTCCATCCATCCATGATCCAGCTCCCGTCCTTGCTTCTCCACCCAACCTTGCCGTCCTCGTCGCTTCCGTCGTTGCCTGGATCCTCCCAGCTGGACGCAGAACCGTTTGACTCTTGGCCTCTTATGCCGCTTTGCAGCCGGAGCTTGGATCTTACGTCGACGACCTTTGCGCACCTCGTGCCAACTTGCGACAAGCTTCGGCGACCTAGGTTTCCCGACCCCTTCAACCAACATCACGTCACTTCGTTTGGGATCCCCATCCATAAAGTTGGGCGCAGCCCCAGATCACACCACCTGTGTCCCGACTATCAAACGTCTGCGACCACACAGCTGCGAGGCGAAGCCAGCAATATGCCTTTGGCAGCCGTGAACTTACCTGCCTCCCTCGACGACGTCAGAGTCAAGAAGCTTCCGCCGTCCTCTTACTACATTGCGGACTTCATATCAGAGGAGGAGGAACGCTTAATCTTACAAAAGGTACGGAAACTTATTTCGACGACGTCCGTCGAGCCAACAGCTGTGGCTGACTTGCCCTTGAAACCAACAGATAGCTGAGGCGCCGAAACCCCGCTGGAAGCAACTGACTCATCGACGTCTCCAAACATGGCCGTCCGATCTCGTCAACAACAAGCTGATCGATGCTCCCTTGCCACAGTGGTTGCAAGAGCCTGTGATCTCGCGAATTCTTTCCTTACCTCTTGCCGCCGATTCTGATTCGTCCAATCTCTTCGCTAGCAGTCCTCACAAACGACCGAACCACGTGCTGATAAACGAGTATCCTTCGGGAGTAGGAATCATGCCGCATAAGTTGAGTACATGGTAGGTGTTCACGTGAAGAGCTTTGAATCTCATGCTGGCTATAGGACGGGGCTGCCTATCATCCAGTTGTGTGTACTGTCAGTCTTGGAGCAAGTCTGTGTCTGAACCTATACCAAACCAAGGAGGATGGTGCCATGGACCCAGAGCCTGTGGGACGCATTCTTCAGGAGCCCAGGAGTCTTCTCATCACCACCGACGACCTCTATACCGATTACCTCCACGGCATAGCCGATGTCGAGGAGGACGTTGAGCTATCTGCCGAGACGATCGTGAATTGGGACCTTTTGCGTTCGCAGGATGACTTTTCTGCTGGCCGAAGCGCACGCGCGACCAGGACGAGTCTGACATACCGGGACGTCATGCAGGTGTCGAAACTCGGGGCCAAGTTTGGCTTGTTTGGAAAGAAGTGATATTCGAGGCGCAAGTGTGTCTAAAAGACAAAGGGTATCATCCTCCATTTACTGGCGACCTTCTCAGCACCAAACTTCTGCGCGTACCACTGCTTGGTCCCATCTGCCGTTGTGCCTAAATTGGCGACAATGAACCACAAAGCACCCATGAGGGTGCGGTTTACCATGTAGCCCTTTGGTGCGGCTATCATGGCAAGGCCCAAATAGATCAGGCATTCGCAAGTGTAATGAGGGCAGATGAGATACCGAAAAAGGCCCTCCTCCGGCAATGAATACTTCTTGAGGCTGGCCAAGTGTTTGTGGCATTTATGCTGATTAGACCATCCGTAGAGGTACGCGACGGTCCCAGCGGCGACCCCAGGTGACAGAAGGCCTTCCAAGTTTGGCCTTGATTCTTGCCTCAAGGCGGCTGGGAAAGGTGAGCGTGTATCTGAAAGTGGAAAATGACGGTCCTCACCTGAGCCGTCAACCCAGACGGATACACTCATGCAGAGATAGAAACCCAATCCAAGCAGCCAATGAACGAACCACATCCTAGAAGACCCCGGTCTCATCACAAAGAGACACTCGTACAATCTCCTCGTGCCTTGCAGCGCCATCAATGTCCAGACGAGCACTGTCTGCTGGAAGCTCACAACCGGGCCGCCCGAAGCCGCCTGCTGGCCAGAGATGATGGCCATGACTGAACCGCTTTGAAAATACTGCCATGCCCAGAAAGCCGAACCTGCAACGGACGCGACGTAGAAGTGCATGAACCACGCGTGTGGGATTTGACCAAACGAAGTCACAGCTTTGGCGACTTGCGTGAAGAAGTCCAATCCATTGGGACCAGTGGGCTCCTTCGTTCGGTCGTCGGTGTCGGTGGTAGTAGCCGGCGAGCGGGCGCCGTAGTCGAGAAGAAGACGCTGGGTCGTCTTTGGCACTACCTGGATGGCCAACACTACTGCTGTTGAGAGCCCGAAGAATATCTGGCACCAATGGGCCGGCGACAAGGTTGAGAGAGCATCCATCATCGTCGTCGGTGTAAGGGAGGCCATGGCCGTGGCCGGTATATGATGAGCGGTTGTTGTAAGCTGTGGTTGAGGTTAGAACAGGGGTTACTTGTTGTACAGTGTTGCGGGATTATTTGATACGGTCCAGTATGACGAGCCGGATCAATCGGATCAACTCCCAGCCGCTCCCGATGACATATGCGGGCGTATAGCAGCGGCTCGACCCTCGAGACTCAAGGTGCCTCGGGAAACTTGTTCGAGGGCGCCATTCACAGGGTCACATCCAAGAACAACCCCTATTGGACTTTTCCAGAGATGCATGCCACATGCAGGCTGAGGGGGGAGATCAGCACACTGCGTCCTCCCGCCCGCTCCGCCCGGCCAAAGTGAGGCTTACAACGCATTCCCGTCTTTCTTGTTGCTTGTTAAAAAGTGCAAGGCGGCCCGTTCGAGGCACAGTCACATCTTTTGGGGGCCGGCGGCTCTGCAGGCTGCGAGCCCAGCTGCAACACCGCGGCAGGCTGTAGTCTTCTCTCCTGTCTGCCTACCTGGAAGCTGCCTCGTTGTAACCCGGCTTCTAGGTCTCGAAGCGCGTGGATGTGGCTTGCCGTGTTGACTGGTTGGAATCGGGAAATGTTTGTTTTTGAATCGGGAAATATAGTGTCTGGTAACTACTGAGGTGGTCTCCGGTGACACTGATTCTCAACCTGTCTCTTCGCCTTCAAGGCATCGGGCTCCAGGCTTTCTTTTTGTTGGATAGTCGGGTAAGAAGGATTAGATGTTTGATGGGGGAAAGTGGAAGTATGATTTGTACAGGGCATGCGTAAGTTCCATTCCATAGTGTGCATGCGTGTTCGCTGTGAAGAAGGTCGGCGATAGCCTGATCATGGCTTACATCTGATGTGGGTGGGCGTTGGTGCTGGTCCGCCTGGTTCGCCTGGTGTGGCTGGCGCTGATTGTATGAATCAAGTGGGAAGCGTGGTTCGCCCGCCTCCTTGGAATTTGCGTATATAAGGGATTTCCCGCTCCCCAGAAATCCAGTCCATCCCCCATCTCCTCATCACGAAGCATCGAATCACAATTGTCCCGTCCTTCTCCTCTTTGGTGTTGGTACCATTCACTTTGATACTTGGCCCATCTGCGCACATCTCAAGACTGCATCTAGCCATTGCGTTTCGCGACCTACACCGTGACGGCGAACGATATTTCCCAGTCCGGGCACGCTTCTAGTCTCTGCCGCATCTCTACCCGGTCTCTCATCTTCCGTGTGAAGCTCGTAGGGTATTGCTCTCTGCTCACGAGGCTACCGTATCGTGACCAGCGTGATGAGGTGGCAATCGCCCTTTGATACGTGATCTTACCTGTTATTGTGCTTTAGCGAGCTCCTCCCGAATAGATAAGGAATGTAGCCAGTTGATCTACTGCAGTATACAGGTAGTGGGTCTGATTACTACTTCGAAGAGCTTTGGCTGAATGTATGATGGCCCGGACCTGGGTATGGAATAGTAGAAAAGGGGCGGGCGGGGGATTTTGGGGCTTGGGGTTTGGACGGTCATACGCAATTGACGGGGTTGGTTCGGTTGAATCGGAACTATAACCTTGTGTAGTAAAGTAATTGGGACAAGGAGATGATGGCCTGACTATGTGACAGTGTAACTACAGTCAAACTTGCTTCGTAGACCTTGGAGAAGAGTGGCATAGAAGCTCATGATGCAGCCATTGAAGGATTTTCGGCGGATGCGTCAATCTTAGGAGACGGCCCTCTTGTTCGTCTGTTATCACACAGGACATAGGAGGTGGATAACTTCGTCTAGTAACATGATTCATCACCGCTTCTGTTCGAATTGTAGGGGGATAAAGCCAAGGCACTTACACAGACAAGTGAGTAATGAGAGGACCAGAGACCTGGAATTCCTTGGCCAGTTCTATTAAACTCGGCCCTCGTCAGTTTCTGTTCAATTTGTCAAAACCACGTATCTGGGGAACATTCTCACGAGAGTCTTCGAGCCATCCGTAACTTTGGGTAACATGAATGATGCCTCTGCCCACAAGCACAATCTACAAAACCTCAGTCCTAGGTGACCACTCGTCCAGATGGCAAATTTCATTTGGAAAGGCGCTGCCAAATCTCTAGACAAGAAGGGTAGGAACATGTTTAGATAAGTCGAACTGCTAACCTTGCTGCTACTTTCAGAGTCCCCGATTTGGTTTTCTAGTAGTGCTAATGATGATGAGCCTGGGACATGGAGAGGAGGTCATTTACATACTAACGCCTAAAGTCACGACTAAATCGGGATAAAAAACTCTTTTTTCTTGCCCGTATATCAATACTCGTGAACTCCGAGATGTGAAATCCGCGATCTTTTTTGCTTGTCGACGTTTGTTTACAAACATATAGTATACTCACTTTCTATCACTAGAGATGCTGCCAACAGGAGGGAAATCAGAACACTTTTATCAACACTCTAGGCCGTGAACATTGCTAGATTTTTCTCTGCCTCGTGGAGCTCGTCCGTTTCTACTATTCGTATTCACAGAAGAAAAGCAAGGGGCGTCCTAAACTCATCTTCCTCTTCACTTTGGACCAGTTTTTGGAACCAAGGTGTGAACATGAGAGTAAACTATATTGAAAAAGCAAAAAGTTTTAAAACTTATGACGAAAGGGCTCAGAGTCACGTCGCTCACAAGGGCGCCGAGTGGATTGGGTAAGTAGAAGGGATTCCTGTACACATTTGCGAGTACTTTGAAGTCGAAACCGCATTCTCAATAAGGCATTCATGATGCTTCATTGCCCAAATGAATTGATTAAATCCGTCTCGAAGTCTTGGAAACCCTCAAAGATCACCCGGAACTCCATATATGGTCTAGTCTCCCAATTCTATACTCAGCCAATACCCACATGAGCCATCTCACAACCCCTTAAAGCACCCTCTCATCCATCCCATAACCTTCTTCAACAACCGTCTACTACCTTTATTCTCGCTCCCCCCACGAACCACCTCAACCTCGACCTTGCCACGAGTCAACCCGAGACCCCCATCCTCGAAAGCCCAAGCCCGCAAGCGTTGCAAGTCCCACGCGTCCCTCTCCCCGTCCACGACCCTCCCCAGCGCGCCATCATCAAAGGCAATGCCCCTCCAAAGCAGTACCCCCAGGACCTGAGCCCTCTTCGCCCGGCGAATGACCTCCTCGTCACCCACCACGCGTCCGACCTCGTCCCAGAAGAGTGCGCGGAGGGAGGCTGCTTCGGGATAGTACTCGAATCTCGTTGATGTCGTCGTCATCGTCGTAGTCGTAATCGTTGCCGTCGTAGTAGCAGCACTCCCACCAGCAACAAAGTCAACATCGCTACTCCCACCAACGACAACATCCTCCCCCAACACCTCCTCGAGCCCGTACATACCCACCCCGAACGGCAGCCACTCCAGCTCGGCCCAGTCAATCAACCCAACCAGCCCGCCAGCCCTCTCCTCCCTCCCCCACCCCAGTTTTCGCCTCACCCACGCCTCGCCGCCCTCGTCCTCTGCCTCCTCGCGCGGCGGATGAACCATGATATTATCGGGCACGAGGTCCCCATGCGTAACAACCCAAGGCAACCTCTCGATACCCCCAAGATCCCTCCTGACATCTCTCACAACGTCCCTCAACTCACAAGGCAACCCCTTTCCCATAATCTCCAACCGCCACGCCAAACTCCCTCCCACACGCCCTCTGCCGTCCGCACCCCCGTGTCCGCGTCCCTCCCCGAAATCCTCCCGCCTCCCCCTCCACGAATCCGCAAAGACAACAGCCAGATCCGCAACAAGCCTCCTTCTCGACGCTCTCGGATCCGTCTCCAAACCCGCAGATATCCTCCGGAAGCCCGTCAATGATACACCGCCGACCCTCTCCAGGAGATACGCACACAACTCCCCGTCCTTCTTCCCCTTTCCGCCACGAGTTGCCGTCGTATCCAGCCCCTCTAACACACCAAGCCCCTCCACACCCGGCACGACCCCATCCCCAAGTACACCCCTAGCCTCGACACACATCTCGACATCAACACCGTGCCTCCGAGGTCGGAACTGAACGAGTCTTCCGCCACCACCACTACTGCCGCCGCTCTTCCAACTCGTACCGCTCTCGCTCTGGCTCTGACTCTCGACGCTCCCCCCTCCCCCGGCCTCAACACCGCTATCCCGCCGCCGTCCCGCCGCTCCACCGGGAAGCGGCCTCAGGAGCAGCGTATAAGAGCAGTACCCCTGAAACGGCGCCCTCTCGACCTCGCACCCGGGGAACATTGCCTGCGCGAACTCGTGCGCTGCCGCGATGGCGGAGGGGTGGAGTCGATTCCTCGCCAGGAACGCCGCGACTTTGCCGTCGTCGTCTCTGGTCTCGGTGTCCTTGGTCTCGATGTCTTTGCCGTCGGTGGTACCTTGCCCATCCGCGTCCCGGGCCCCTGACCCCGGAACTGGGTTGATCTCTGCCGCATCGCATAGAATCGACGGTATCATCGAAGCAAACCCTCCATGGCCTTGTCTCGAAGCTTTCGCGACGGCGAGATTGTCGTCATCTCTGCGGGGTCGGGTATCAATCGACATTAGTAAGGTAGATTATCTCTTCTTCTTTTTATCGGGGTTTCTTTCAAGGCGGTTTCCAAATTGCCATTATACAATAAACATTACAATTGACACTCATGAGAAACCCGTGGGAAGAGTTGATGGATGGAAGCAGCGTTTATCAAATCTCCATCTCTCACCTGAGTGAAGTGAGCTGAGCTGAGTAGGTAGTGCGTGTGGGGTCCCAATCGAGTTCACATGACGGCACCATCAGCAGGTTTTCCCGCCTGCGTTTTCTCGGTCAGCGTTCGCGCATGTGGTTTTTCTGCAGCAGATGGCTTTTCGGGGAAAGGGCAGCATGAATTTGGGGGGGGGGGGGGATGAACAACTCCGACCACACCCACTCCGCCCACAGGATGTGCCCGCGTGGGGTGGTGTCTTGCAGATGACTACCCGTCATCTAGTCCGGAAATAATCATCACACTTGGTCTTGAGGTGAGCACTCCG